AGGATGTATCTAGCATATCTGTGTGTGTGTTATGTATGTATACACTTTTGAGAGCAGGCAACAGGATTTCATTTTTAATGTGTGCCAGAGTGCCCAAAGAAAAAAATGACAATAAAAATTATCTTAAATGGTAGTACTGCTCTATATCACACTGGTGAGGCCACACTTGGAATATTATATCCAGTTCTGGACACCATGATACAAAAAAAAAAATGCTGAGGCCCTAGAAAGAGTGCTGAGAAGAGCAATGAAGATGGTAAGGGTCTGGAGACTGAATCCAATGAAGAAAGCTGAAGGAATTAGGTATGCTTAGCTTAACAAAGAGAAGGCTCATAGGAGACATGATAGCAATCTTCCAATACATGAAGGGCTGCCATAAGGAAGAGGGAGTTGGTTTATCTTCCAAAGCACCTGAATGTAGAACAAGAAGCTATGGGTAAGAAGCTCATTAGGGAGATCCAATCTGGAACTAAGAGGCAATTTCCTGATAGTGACAACAATTAGCCAACGGAACAGCTTGTCTCCTAGAGTTGCGGGTGCTCTATTACTGAAGGTTTTCAAGAAAAGATAGGACAGCCATTTGTGCAAGATGGTAAGAACAATTACTACTTGGACAAGGGGTTGAACTTGAAGTCCTCCAAACCACCAAATTCCTTCCAACCCCATGATTCAATTATTCTAACCCAGGTTCCATTTTATAGTGCAGGGAATAGGGAGGCTGAGGAAATCTTGGGTAAGGAATGAGCAAACATTTGAACATTGGTTTTCTTTTGTTCAAGAAGGAGGTGTGCAAATATTGTGTTTTAGGGTGAGGTTTGCACTTGACTTCTGAGTGACATTCCCAAAAGAAGGAAATAGCAAACACTTCCACACTATTGTAGAGAAAATTATATGGATATTTCCAGGTAATCGCCAAGGATAAAGATTCAGTCTAAAGTGAGAGTTGTTTTCTTTTCTTTTTTTTTCTTTTCCATATATGTTATGGAGGATGTATTCAAAAAGTGGGCAAGACCAAGATAGAGAAATAAGCAATGTGAGAGGAAAACATGATCGACACAAATTGAACACACTTCAAACGCTAAACCCGTTTTTTCCTTTTGTCACAGTTAAAGATATAATTTAGCAACAACCTTTTGGAAGTTTTCTGGAGATTGTGCCCAGTGCTTTGGCAAAGGGAATCAAGTAAGGACCAAGTTTCTACGTTATGGTACTAATAGAACTTATCAAATTTTGCATGTGGGAAATCTTCCAATCACTGTCTAACGTCTTCAAGAATGCATAAAATAAACAATGCATAACAGGATCGCCTAAAGAATTCCCTCTCTGACCTCCATGCTAAGATGAAGCAGCTGCGAGTCCATACTATTAATTGCAGAAAGGAATCAGCAACTGGTGGTAGAGAGGAGCCACCAAGAAGCCAGAGATGCTATTGCTGGCATAATTAGTGAAATGACTTTCAGGGAAGGTGAGCTGAGGGAAGTGAGTCACTTCTGCCCAGAATTGAATGTTACATAATATGCAGAACTTCTGAAAGTGGCTTGGAGGTTCTGGAAATTCTTCTAGAGGAAGAATCTTAGCTTTCTGATTAACCAGCATATCACTCCAGTCCCTGCCACATAGAGAGATAAGGGTGGTTTGACTAGCCTAATGAAGGTTCTTTCTGAATGAAGAGCCGAGGTGGCGCAGTGGTTAGAGTGCAGTACTGCGGGCTACTTCTGCTGACTGGCTGCCTGCAGTTTGGCAATTCAAATCTCACCGGCTCAAGGTTGACTCAGCCTTCCATCCTTCCGAGGTGGGTAAAATGAGGACCCAGATGGTTGGGGGCAATTTGCTGACTCTGTAAAGAGAGGGCTGTAAAAGCACTTAAGTGCTATTGCTATAGTTATTATATTGCCTGCACCTGAAAACAGGTGCTTTGGAGGAAGTGGAATCTGGGATACCATTTCTGCAGCTATTGTGTGTTTTCAAGATGATATATGAATTTTCTGTATTGCAGAAAGAATGAGCACTTTAATTGGAATTACATCCTGCCTTTTCTTCAGCAACTCAAGATCATAATTATACCTCACAGTAACAACCTTGTGGTGTAGACTGGGCTAATAAAGAAAACCTTAACTTAATGAATTTATTTGGCTCACGATGAACTCGAACCTCGGCCTCCCCAATACTACAGGTGGTCCTCTACTTATGACGATTCATTTTCTCACTGTTAGAAGTTTTGACAATGCTGACAAAAGTAACTGACAACCGATTCTCATATTTATGATCATCCCAGCATTCCCACAGTCATGAGATCACAAGTCAGGCACTTGATGTGTGCAGATACAACCACAATTGAGGCCAAAATTTCTGTTGCTAAGTGAGACATTGAGTTTTGCCCCTTTCTTGCCAGATTCGTTAAGTGAATCCCTGTTAGTTGTTGAGTTGGTAACAGAGTTGTTAAGTGAATCTGGCTTCCCAAGTTGACTTTCCTTGTCAGAAGGTCACAAAAGATGATTCACACAATCCCAGGATTCTGCAACTGTCATAAATGCGAGTCAGTTGCCATGCAGCCGAATTCTGATCACATGACAATGGGGATGCTGCAATGGTCATAAGTGTGAAAAATGGTCATAAGTCACTTTTTTCAGTACTGTTGTAACTTTGAACAGTCATTGTTGTAAGTTGAAGACTACCTGTATTAGTGGCCTAGGACAGTGATGGCTAATCTTTTTGCCGTCGCGTGCCAAAAGCGGGGGGAAGTGTGGGGCGGTTGCATGTGCACGTGCCCACACCCATAATTCAATGTGCCCCCCCCATGCATGCGTGTGCAACCCCCGCACTCTCCCCACTTTTGGCATGTGATGGCACAAGTTGGCCCGGTAGGCCCATTTTTCACCCTCTCCAGGCTCCAGAGCCTTTCTAGGAACCTGGGGAAGGCGAAAATGGCCTTCCCCACACCCCAGAGGCCCTCTGGAGGCCAGAAACAGACCGTTTCCCATGTGCTGGAGCTGAGCTAGGGCAACGCTCACGTGCCCACCGATATGGCTCCATGTGCCACTTGTGGCACGCGTGCCATAGGTTCGCCATCACGGGCCTAGGATCATGTGATCCTCCTTTGTGATCTTCCCAGGTTACGTGAATTTTTTTAATTCACATAATGACTGTGGCAAAAATGTTGCAAAATTGGGTGTGTCTCACTTACCAAGAGAATTTCAGTCCCAATTGTAGTCATGAGGACTACCTGAAGTCCAACACTTTATTTAACACCATACCTTGTGGTTTTAAATAGCTGTCTGCCATCACTAGTAATTATCTGTTATGCCTTTTGAATTTGTAATGTTATTTTTCTGCTTTCATTTCAAAGGAAGTTAGTGGATTGAAGCCCTAATGATATAATCTAAGTGAATGTTGTAAACAGTAAAGCAATAATTCTGCAGTTGAATTTATCAATCAGGTCTATAAACTTGACCAAGGTAGAGAAATGACTTTTGGTCACCTGGTTATTATTAAACATAATTTCCAAAATACGTTACCATTAATAATCCAGATTTATTCTTTTTACCAGAACCTCCCCACCTTTCCCTCTATGACTGTACAAGTTCTCTTGCTAACAATAAGGACTAGTAACTCAGTATCAATACTCGTGACCTCTCAAACTCTCAAAATGCCAGATTGTGAGATTGGCAAGTGTGGAAAATCAGAGAAGGCTGGAAAAACCTTTGGCAGTTGCTTTGCTTTCTGTCCGAATTCCAGTGATTGGATGATCATTGGGGTCCAATTCCTTTCTCTCCTTCCCAGCAATTCCCTCTCTGGCAATATTAAAGAGCCAAGCAATTCCAGCCATTTTTAAGCCTTCATGGGCAGCAACCCAGCTTGTCCTTTCCTGGAGAAGGTCACCAACTGCATCCATCCATCAAGCCAGGGGCCTCAGATTCAAGGGCTCAAGTTTCTCACAGACACCCATCCCTTTGGTGTGGATGAGAAGAGGAGAATATTCCCACTTGCTCATTTCTTATTTTAGAACTGCCTTTGGAATCAGGACTCTTAAATCTTCTCCTGCTGCTAAAGCAATACTTTAAAATCCTGGCAAAGGGGACTCAGATGTACCAAAGGCAACCCCTTCATAGCTGCCCATTCGTCAACCAGAGAACTGGATGTTGAGATGATCAATCTCCTTAGGGTCGTTTTGCGTCCCTTCACTTTCTCTTCCCTCTTCCAATAGGTGAGGCAAATTTGGGGCCATTCAGCATTGGTCACCCGCCTCTCACCTTTTCAAGACCACTAGAATTCAAATAAACCCAAATCTGCTGGAGAGGAAAACCCACTACACTGGATTACCTCACTTTAGCCGCTGAGGAAGAAGGGAGATCATTTCTGCTTCTCTGTGAAGCTTCTGGATTACTTTTACAAGACTTTTTCCTGCCCTTTTCACCTCCTGCAACCCCGTCTTTATCCCTTTTAATCTAGGCTGATGGCCAAGCTCTGAAACTTCTTTAGTGTTATGCAGACAGGCTCTGCAATTCTGGTCCTCATCCCAGAATATCCTCATCACTGGGGGGGACGGGGACACAGAGAGAAAGCTTTTGGGCCCAAATCACTGCCCACCCACTCATTTTGAATAAGCCCATCCTGGAAGCCAAGTCAACCTGTAGAGGAAGAATGCCTTCGGGTGGATCTAGGGCAGGAGGGGATATGGGGGGGTGGAAGCATGGAACAAGAGGTGGGCCGGAGAAGCCTTTTCTGTTGACATTACAAGGACAATGCTGGGTATGGATGAATAAATACCATTTATTCATTAATGGTATAAATACCATTTATTCATCAGTGCTAATACTAATAACAGACCATGAAGAAGGCTTTCTGAAGCAGGTCAATGAGTAAAAAAAAAAATGGTAGAAAATTTCACACCATCTGGATTTCCTAGCCGTGGGAAAATAAAATAAAATAAAATAAAAAGACGCCTGCCCTGCCATAGGGAAGGACGAAGGGGGGGAGAGCCGGTTCTCCTCCCCGCTTACCTTTCTCATACTTGAGGTAGAGGAGGGAGACCACGAAGTAGCCCAAGTCGAAGACAGGGAAGACAGGCAGGCGGGCGAAGGCGGCCGCCAAATCGGCCAGATCCAGGGCCCCGATCAGGTCCATTGTTGGAAGGAGAACCGAGAGCGGGCGAGCGGCGAAAAGCGAGCCCCTCTGGAGCGCCCAGCGGCTGTAGCCGGTGCTACCGCTATCTGGCAGAGCAGAAGGGAAGCAGCGGCCGCCCAAACCGAGGGAGGGAGAGAGGGATGGAGACGCCCCGCCGCCTTCCCTACTTGGCCTGCGGCTTGCAAGCGCCTCCGGGGGCCGCCTCGGGCAGCTGAGCATGTGCAGAGTGCAATTCCTTGCCCTGCCGCCGGGTAGACGATCCCATCTCTCTCCGGCCTTGCCTTCACCGCCGTTAGCTCCCCCCCTCCCCAAACCGAGGGACTTGGCGTCCCCCGCTTTCCCCGGCACCTTGCGCGGCTGCTAAAACGAGGCTAATCTCGTTTCTACTTTACAAGCCCACGCAAATACATCAACGGCAGTGGGTGCTTAATCGTTTTACTGGAAAGGAGGGCAAAGATAGTCCAGTTGGGGCCGGAGCTCAGAGACGACATCTGGGACTCCGCAACTAAAACCTCCTCGAGCGAGAGTGGAGCAGCAGAAGCAAATAACAACCAGTTGCCAGGGTGATGATGGCACTTGGCGCGGCTTTTTTTAAAAAAAAAAAAAACAAAATAAAAATCATTTCATTAAAAGGCAGAAGGCGACGCTTGCCAATTCCTGTTCTTCTGCGGCGGATTCGGATTCTCTTTAGTTAAATCGGGATGTAATATATTGCTTCCCTTCCCAAGCCCTCGATGTCAACAACTGCCAGACAAACTAAGTTGGGAATCAAGACCGCAATCTCTGCAGCGCTCTTGTCCCTTTGAGCAAATTGCCAGCCAGGGTCTCTTCTGTTGACCCCCCCACCCCACCCCAAGTGCTTAATGGTAGACATTTGCTCCCGAGCTTCTGGCACAGGTCGTCTTTCTATGAGGAATTTCCTCATACTCCGTGTTTACACATAACGAGATGACTGCCGATAGAAGGGAATATTTGTAGTTCAGGTTTGAACTGCGAGGTCCTTGGTGCTTTCTGAGCTTGGTTGTTTTCTTGTAGACCTTTCATTTACCAAACTAGATAACATTATCAGTGCTGGTAAGGAGTGGGGTTTGCTCTCATTTTATATTCTAGTGGCCTATCCTGTCAGTGTGGGTGGGAGTGGTTTTTTGATTGGGATATTGTTTACAGTTTGTCTGACCTTGATTAGAGCATTGTTTGCTTCTCAGTTGTTGGTCTAATGTTGATCTTGGTGGTCCTCTCTGTTCATTTGGGTGTTGAGCTGGTGAGGAGTGTCTATGAGATCATCAATCATGGTTGTCCCAAAGATTCGTTTGCTTCCATTTTCCTTGAAGACGTTTCGCTTCCCATCCATGAAGCTTTTTCAGTTCAATACCTGAACTGAAGAAGCTTCTTGGATGAAAAGCGAAAGGTTTCCAAGGGAGAAAAAAAAACCAAGAAAGCCCAATTGCCTTTTGAAAAGCACTTTTGGGACAACTGGTGAGATGATGCGATGGTCATTTTGTTTCCTTTGGGGGGGGGGTTTGACTGAGTTTGACCATGAAACCTTCAGGAGGCAAGAAGGGTAAACCCAACGTGCACTTTGTACTTAAAGGTAGACTGCCTCTGAGCATGCAGGTTCTGCCGTTACATCACGACTAAGAGCTCATTTCCTCATAGACTTGAGATCTTTAGATTAATGCAAGGGATGTTTCTGAAGAACCTTCACTTTCATCTACCTATTCATTTACCAAACTAGTTAACATTATCAGTGCTGGTAAGGCAAATTCCTTGTGTGTCCAATCACACTTGGCCAATAAAAAATTATATTCTATTTTTCTATAGCTTCACAATTCCTGTTCCTCCCTCCGACTTTTTGCTAAAATAGACATCGCCTTACATGTCTTACTTTGGAGTGGGGGGAGGGGGGTAAAAACTGATACAAAACCAATAAAAACCAATAAAACCAATAAAATGGAGAAGAAAAGCAGCATCTTTTAAAAATCACTAAAAAGCGACCGCCTCCGCTCCCAGGATAAAGACCTAATCCCGGCGCTTTAAATCGGTGGGCGGGGTTTGTGGAGAAACGTCACCACCCGCTTGTAACCTACCACAGACTTTCTCCTTACAGTATAGCCGGTGAGAGCCACCTGGTGGCCAAGGGAGGGAAAGGCAGGATGAAAAGTTGATGCTTATTGGCTGTTGAGCTGCTGCGTGTCAGCGGGGTATATTTCCGTTTGGATACCAGCAGAGCGGAAGTAGCAGGATGTTGGGGGATTTGCTGTTGTTCGGGTAAGGGGGGAGAGAGAGAGAGAGAGAGAGAGAGAGATAGTTGCCAGGCAACCAGTTTTATTAAGATGGGGGAGGTATAGCTGTTTTCCTGTTTGGTAAATTCGACTGTGCGAGACTGAGGAGTGTAAAGGTTGTGTAAATATGGGACAAGGGACAGCAGAATACTCCAGCCTGCATTCTACGTGGGAAAATGCTTTGGCTAAATTTCTTGTGTCTGCCCTGCAGCTCTTAAAAGTGCAAAAAAACAAAGCAGAATAATTGGGATGCGACATCAGAAAAGGCATGGAGGAAGCAGTTATCCCTAACTTGTAGGCCGTTTCTTGCCCCCCCCCCCAGCTCAGAAATGTTAAGAATTAAAGTGGAAAAGGCCCCAAGCCGTTGTATATTCTCACTTTTCTTCTTCTTCTTCTGCCACATAGGACTCTGTTGGTCAATGCCGGAGCAGTGTTAAATTTCAGGCTGTAAGTACTGTGAAAAGGCAGGATTTGCTTCGTTGGGAAAACGGAGGAATTCCTACAGCAGTAGGAATCGAGTTTTTTGTGCTTCCAGCATGAGGAGGTTTCTGGGAAAGCTTTTGATTCAAAGATTGCAACATGTGATTTTGGTCACAGAGAACACCTGGTTCACGGTTGTTGGATATGATTTAGGAAAATTGGCAAAAACTCCTGTCTAGACAGCTGCTGTTCCTTAGAGCAGAGGTCTCCAATCTTGGCAACTTTAAGACTTGTGGACTTCAACTCCCAGAACTCTGGGAATTGAAATCCATAAGTCTTAAAGTTGCCAAGGTTGGAGACCCTTGCCTTAGAGAGTAGTTTATTGGATGGATTTGGTAGGACACAACTTTCTGCAAACCAGAGAGCTGCTTTTTAAAATGTCAACAATGCTCCTATGGCTCCTTCCCAATCTGCTGATTAAACACATCCCTCAGCCATGTTTTCTTTTGCAAATATAAATGTAGTTGGCCATTGTCTCGATTTTTCAATCATAGAGAAATACATATTGTGCTTGCCTCATTTTAAATGATAACCTGGGCAACTAAACTGATGGGATAGGATGAAACCCTGAGATTTCTTGTTAAATATTAACTCAGTGCAACTTTGCTTCAGCTTTTCAGGATCGGCCATCACTGCCTAGATTCAAATGTAAAGCAATTTTACAAAAGACCTGAGAGCTATATGTAAGACAGTTCCTATGTTGTTTGGAGTATAGGAAATGCATATCCAACCTAGATATTCTGTTTACTGCAGTGGCCAAATTAGTGGTTCTATAGGAATATCATAAACTGAATATTATAGCAGTGGGTGAGCCAGCTGCAAGTGCTGTTTAAATCATGGAAAGTTTCCCTTAATAGTTGCAAGAAGATTCCTGTTGTGTACTGCCTGGATTGCATTCATCTGGTCCAGCATTTTTTCTGCATGGCTAATCATTTCTGAAAATTCATCAAGTGGGTTTTGAAACTTCCTTGTTTTCTTTCTGGGACTCAGTAAATTGCTATAGTATTCCATGTTTACCTTGGTTAATAACTGTCAGCAAATTTTCTCCTGTCATTGTCCATTTTAACATATACATGTTTGCCTTAAATTATGAGACACTAGTATGTTCTGGGATCTTGAAAGCAAATCTTTGTTTGCCTTACAGGAAGAAGAAAGAGAGTCAGAGTTTTGGTGAAGAAGGAAGAGAACCAACAACAGGTAAAAATTCTAGCTGAGGTCCTTGTACTGAAGGTTTTTTTTTTTAACTTGCTGTGTGTCTCCAAAATAGTTGCAATTAATTTTTTAGTTTTGTTTTGAGATATTGCATAGAAAAATATGAAATAGAAATAAAACATTCTAATCTATTTGTTGCCATACGCCTATTGTAATTGTTTCATTTTAAAAGACAACTGTCTACTAAACTGGTAACATTGTTTAACAAATTAATTAAGAATTACATTTTTACACAGTAATGTAAAATTATGAAAAGGTAACTCATGTAATATATTTTCAGATTTAATAAACTGGACCCCATTTCTCTGAATTTGGACAGTGAAATCAAGATTTTTGTGTAAATTATTGTTGCCCCTTGAGTATAGTATCAAATTTGCTGTGGGTGTAGTGCTTTACATATTGTGTTTTTCATTCTGTGGTTTTATTTTAGCCTAATAATTAATAGAAATTGTGTGCTTATTTAAAAGCATTTAGAACAGAATTATGGTGAGTTCCAGAGTTTCTCAAGGCAGAGGTATTGATTTGTCAGCAATTAACAACATTCATTGTGAAGGCTGAGAAACACAGAGCAAAACATGAGTTAAGTCATGGGAAATTAAACTACATTGAATATAAAAAATAAACTGGAAAAAAAACTTCTGATTGATAGAGAGCAATCAAGTGTTCTAATATTTATTTCTAGTATGTAATAAAGATACTTATGTACAGAGTAGTGTGTGTCAGATAATTTCTTGTCAAATATGAACCTAGAATTATTCAAGCTATGCTGAGTTGAATGCCTGGGATATTCTGCTGAGGTTCTATGTGTTGACAGCAGGCAAATATGTAGCCACTCAGATACTGAACTTTCTCAATTCTAGCCAGGATAAGCAGTCATGAGACTTGCTATTCAACAATTTCTAGAGAATTGCCTATCCCGAACTAAAACCAAAGGATACATCATTAAATGACTATCCTTTGGCCTGACAGCAACTTTCGTCTCCAGTCCTACCTGTTCTGTAAATATGGTATGGAGATTTCTTAGCCATCCAGACAAATCATAGGCATATGAAGGAAGGGGGAGATATTGAATATCTGCTGGTAGAATGACAACATGCCACTCTTACAAATACAGACAAAAAATAATGTTCCTCGTGATTATACTGCATAGGACATTGTACGGCTGTGCATACCGGTAGTTCTTTTCATGCTTCTTCTAACCCTGTGCTGGCTCACAGGCTGAATTACAAGTTGCTTGAATTAGAAAGATTCCTTTATAACTTGTTTTCTTGCTTCATATAAAAAAATAAAAAGTACTTTATTAGGAATCTAAGAAATAACTCCAATTGTTTAAGTCAGTCTGGAATCAGGTGGTACCTAAATTAATGACTGGATAAATTATTGCTAAGGGTGCACTGAAAGGAGTGTGGATGAAACAAGGGATAGTTTTTGCCGTAAATGCAATTTCATTTACTTCCCAACTTCCAGGTGATAATATCAGGGAGTTCCTGTTGAGCTTAAG